CCCCAGGATCTGGTGAAGTACCACCTCGTGTTTGCGGTCCGGGAGGAGGTGGAGGTGCTGAAGGAGCAGATCCGGGACCTGGCGGAGCGCAACGCTGCACTGGAGCAGGAGAATGGCCTGCTGCGAGCCCGGGCCAGCCCGGAGCAGCTGGCCCAGCTGCCCTCCTCGGGGCGCCCCCGGCTCGGGCCTCCCCCACCCAACGGGCGCTCTTCTCCCCCATGGTGTGCCTTTAGGGTCTGCCACACTTGTCAGGCCTTGTGCCAGCGGCCTGTGCCTGCATCCCATACAGCTTCTACACGCCCCAGACCATCGACCTAGCCTGGTCGCCCCAAGTCCCCAGATCTTGAAGGAGGAGGGAGGGCTCAGCACAGGGTGGTGGATGGAGTCCCCTCCTCGAGTGATTGATGCCAGTCGCCCTCCCTTCCTGGGCATCGGGGTTCTGGGCCCCCAGTAGTGGGGGAGGGGCTGGAGGCTTCCTGGCAGCCCCTCCCCCACTTTATTCTCCTCAAGTGTCCCCTCTCTGCTGCCCAGGGGAGGGAATATGGACGTATCTGGAAATTCTGGGATTCAGGTTATTCTTAAAATAGTAATTAAAAATCTGAAGAAACTTGAATTTGGAGGCAGCTGTGGTGTCCCATGTGTCCAGACCTCTGAGGGGTGGAGGACAGTTTGCCCCGCCCTGCGGAGGCATGCTTGGTTCCATGAAGCGATGATGTAAGAGATACGGTGTGGCAAAGAGGCTGGAGAAATAAGCTAGACCTGACAGTTATAAGACCTGAGGCCAGCACTCGTGTCAATTTCAAGATACAACAGCACTTAACCTCAGGAATTTGCTCCCACGAGATCTAGAGGATATAAAAGATAGACACCACCAGAGACTTGCTATCCTGATTCCTTACCATCACCCGGACTCTCTCCCAGACCCAAGAAGTGTCTCCCAGACCCAGGATGTATCTTTGTTGTTATTTTCTGTGCTTTTCTCTCTGTGGCTATGTTTGCTCTGCAAAGCTAGTTCTTCCGTCACCCCTTCCTCTCTCATTTTAAAATAAACTTTTGACAAAACTTTTAGTTTATCTTGTCTAATTACTTGTTCGAGACTACCAGTACCCTGGAACACTTTTGTTTGGCAAGGTATTTATTTATTGATTTATTTTTGTCTTTTCTGAGACAATCTCGCTGTGCAGTTCAGGCTGGCCTTGAGCTCACTTTGTAGCCCAGGCTTGCCTTGAACTCACAACGATCCTCCTGCCTCAGCCTCTCGAATGCTGGGGTTACAGGCGGGCGCCACCACGGCCGGCGGTAGGCAAGCCATTATTTAAGTAACTACTGTATGATAACAGAAACAGTAGAATCCAGCGGTTTGGGTCCTGGGAAGGAGCAGGCCGGCCGGGCA